ATTATTATAAATCAGCCTAATTTTGGTTAATACGATATTAAACTTTTTAAGGATTGCGTAATCGGTATTAGTCCACCAATCATATATCGCTAAAGTATGACTAGCCACAGTATTTCAAATAAACGTGAGAGAAATGAAGTCCGGGACAATTGTGAGAGTGACGGCAAGGTTGGTGTGGTGTGTTGGCACTGGTAAGCGCATTAATCTAGCGTCACAGGGCGCAGGTTTATGACCTTTGAGCCGAGGGCTCACCAAAGCACTTGCAGCAGTAGTGATGGCTCTGGATCGGCAGATAACAAGAACAAATATCTTGGATTTCACTCTATCGACTTCAAGCAACTGCAACCGTTTGCAGTTTTTCATCTCGATCGGCTTTGTCTGCGTCACAGTGAAGTACTAGAGCAAACACTCCTCAGTTTTAAAGCCTGCCATCACATCACTACTACTGCTTTAGAGCTTGACCGAAAGAGTTCTTGATGAGCCCTCGGTCCACATAGGGTAAGGTGGCAAGAAACGTACTTAAGTGGGGAAAGTGTTATATTTTTTTTTTATCATCTAATATTATCAAATCTATGAGCTAGTTTTAAAATATTATGCTAAGTTTCAAAAATGAGTTACTATTGATATTGAATATTGAAAATAGTCCTATTATTGTACTCGTCACAAGTCCTTGGACCAAAATGTAGCCATCTGCAATAAAGATTCATCAACCCAAATCCTATAGTAACAGTTAAATATAAGGGGTAGAATCGGGTGTATAAATCAAAAATGTGGTCATAAATAGCTGATTCACAGTAATTTTTGCGCTACAAGACTTTTTTAAAACTCTTTCCAGATGCCCCAGGTTTACGGGAAACGGGTTGCCATTGAGGCGGTCATTTGATTGGGCAATTTCGACAACCACATGGATTTGCGCAAGAAAGTACAAGAAGTACGCAATTGAACAGCAGCAAATCCGATTACGATTGAAACTATTTGAGCGCAACGAAAATCCAAATATTTATTTTAACAGGCACCTTATCTTCGGCTCTGCTGGGTCATATTCACGCTTCCTTTCGCGTTGAGTAGACTTTAACTTCACATATAAATTAATCGGGGTTAACGCTAAATGGCTGATAGAGAACATGCACTGCTAAATTGCTGATATGCACCTCAAACAGGTCTCATTGTCGGCTCTGTAGGTGCTCGTCACAGTCGTAACAGTGCCGTGTGCTATCTATAGACACTCAGCAACCAGGTCCCGGGTTCGCTGTCCTCTGAAGAGGCCATCTTCATTGGCTTTAGACGTAAAGTCAAAGCACCGTACTACGTAATCCTTCTGGCCTGGCGTCAGCTCTTGCTGCGAGGTGCTTGGCTCGGACATGTTAGTAGGGACGCAAATAGCTGACTAGATGCACGAGATGTTAAGGAGCACTTACGTAGGCTCCTTGTTCTCTTTTGACGACAACTCGAGAAATTTCGCTAATTAAAATGGCATACTAAAATAATCTGGTCTAACGTTCAATGACGAGTACAAGACTATCAAAAATGTCATTTGATATTTGGTTACAATTAGCCCCTGGATATAATACATGTTCACCACCAAACTTTGGGCCCTCATAAAAAATTGTTCTACAGAAGGTCGAATGCTTAAGTGATGTTCGAAATGTGTTTACTATAAACGATGAGACATTGGTCTGGTAAGAGAAAAAATAAACTATCTGTAACTTCCTTACGTAGGTTTTAACCTTTCTCATTTAACCCTTTAGCTATCGAGCCTTTGCTACGGGTCCAATAAGACCTCTACCAGAAATTAATACAAATCGTCATATGTTTCGCTCATAATTTGCAAACATTTGCTAAGAAATGATGCGGTAGAGGTCCATATGGACCCCTACCATATTACGTCAACTTTTGCAAATCATTTGACTCTATTGTACCCAATTGCGGCATAGAAATTTTATGGTAGAGGTATCCGGAGGGCAAATCCGTCCAGTAGCTAAAGGGTTAATGAGGGTACTTTTAATTTGTGGCCTGGGTATTAGTCGGAAAATTTCGTTATCTGTCACATCAAGAACGATAAGCGCTAGAACGGTGGAGAAGGTCTTCGTTCGCTGACATGTAACAATTATGCTTATCGTAGTGGATGGGTGGTTCAATACCAAAAATAATATTTTGGGTATTTAAAAATACATATTCTGGGTGATCACTTCTGCTTTTCTACTGTATAGTATCACGCTGGTTTTAGTGAATCAGAGGACACAAAACGTGACATTTTTTTGCCATCATTGCGTTCGAATGGCTCGCTTAATAGTAGTATCCTTTTGTTTCATGAAAGAAGTAAGTTTTGCTTAAGATGGGACTATTTTACATTTTGATTTTGATTTCTGGAAGAGTCAAACCGGCGCCAAGGAAATTGCACGCCAGTTATGAAGTCGCATGGCAGTGGCTGTTTTAGAGCTTTCTAAGCATAATTCAGTACGGCAGTCTTTGTCTCAAACAAGAAGCGGAGACAGAGGTACTGAAGAAAGCAGCACCTAAGACAGGGTACAGGATTAGCTGCAAATATCCAAACATTTTTGAATTGGAGTGGTGTGTGATAACCAAGATCGGTGCGTTTTATCTGGCGCAATGCGCGATTCCATACATATTGTATACTAAATTTTAGAACACATCAAATGTGGTCTAAAAGTTAGTATACACTATGTATGGTATCGCGCCAGGTAAGTAAAGATCTATGTAAAGAAAGTACTTTCGCATAGGTGAAGGTCACGTTGCAAGCTCTCGATACTATTGTTTTCTCGTGTCATGCTCCGGGTCGACCGTGGCCCACAAAAGGACTGACTGTTCAAGTCGATAAGAGCCCAGATTTAGGATGTTCCAAGACGGTGTCTGTAGTGGTCAAAGTCTGACCTTAACAGCAACTAGAGATATTTACGCAGCCTCCCACTGTCTCGCGAGTCCGTGGCTATGCAGCACCAACGCCGTGACCGCCTCACAAAAGACGGTAGTAGTTGTTCGTGGTTGGTCGTCGTTGATGGTGTGAGTGCTGATAGTGGGAGGCATTGTAAGATAAGATACGGTAGCAAAGAGAGCGATATTGTCTGTGTATGCGGTGATGCCTGTCTATCGCTGGTTGATTTGTTTGTAGGGTGTTTGTGAAACGTTTGGCGAGTTTTTCGTTTTTGGGTGTGGCCCCGTGGTCTAGTGGTATGCTTAATGCTTCGGGTTGCGATGAGGGTTTCTAGCTACAGAAAGTACTAATTGTGTAGTGTATGACGCTGTATCGCCCGTTTTCTTTGCGAGCACAAGGCAAAATTGGCGTAAAATTCAGCTAAATCTCGTTTTATCAATTTCTGGTGCGATGATCATTTTAGCTGTGAGTTTTAATTGTTGATCTAACTCATTGGCGAGCTTTCAGTCGTTGTATTCTAGCGTAAAGCATCCCCATGACGCGCAATCAAGCGTTCCATTTGCTTCAGCGTGATATTCTAACTTATCAAGACAAGTCGGTCAGAAGAGGCTTGTTAGCTATGTTGTGAGATCAAATTTGAGTGTGTGTGGGGGGGGAATTGATTTGTGTATGCTCGCTCGCTTTAAAGTGAGCTAGATAATCCGATTGGAAGAAGCTTTACTCCTAGGCGTGCATACAAGGGTAAACTTTGCTACTGATACTATCTCGCAAAAAAGTGTGCTGCTCAAGCCTGAGGCAGTCTCCGTGATTGTCCATTGTAAAAAACCTGCGATTAACGCAGCAATCGATACGTTGAGTAAATGCCAACATCGTGGCGCAAGTGGCGCCGCAACAATAAAATGAAGACCTTCATTCTAAGGCTAACTCCACTCCTGGTTGCTATCCCGATAGCTATCGGTCATTCGTGATTGGCTGTTGCTATTGACTGAATGTTTAGCAATAGCGACTCCTCGCCGACTCCACTCGTCAGATTGCTTGTTCACCTACGGAAAGCACAATGGAGAGCAGCGACGAAGAAGTTTACCTACTCCTTGATAACGACGACGACTTTCTTGCCGCTGCCTGTGTGCTGGTAAGTGCTGAGCAAGGGCTGTGTTCAGTACAGTCTTCACAGCGGCAAGGCTCGCAAAAAGGAAGACCCAAGACCAGCGCCCGTAACATCGCCTCTGGACACGCTGCACTCATGCGCGACTACTTTGGCGAAAACCCCGTGTACGATGAGAAGAAGTTTCGACGGCGGCATTGTGTCTCTTTAGCCGTGTTTTACAGGCTCTGCACGGCTCTATCATCTCACGATCGATTTTTCCAGCAGCACCCCGATGCTGTCGGCCAAATGGGAGCTTCGGTGGAGCAAAAGGTTGCCGCTTCGCTTCACATGTTGTCAGAAGGAAATTCGGCAGATGCCCAGGACGCATACTACCGTATCAGCGAGTCACTTATGTCACCATGCTTCAAGAAGTTTTGCAAAGCAGTCGTCGAGGTTTTCGGTGGTGAGCTTCTTCGACCACCATCGTATGAAGATACAAGAACTATCCTAGAATTCAACGCCAACAGAGGCCTACCTGGTCTATTCGGCTCGCTAGACTGCTTTCATTGGCAGTGGTCGGCATGTCCAAACGCCTGGAAGGGCTACTACCAGGGGAAAAACAAGAAGCCCACCGTTGTTTTGGCGACAGCAGACAGGTGGATTTGGCACAGTTTCTTCGGAATGCCAGGTTCGGCAAATGATATTAATGTTTTAGATCGTTCGCCTTGCATTGCAAACATCCTGAGTGGAGCTATCTCGCAAGGGCAGTACCAATTGCAGTCAGTCACTCGTACACGACCATACTACTTTGTTGACGGCATTTACCCTCCATGGCATATATTGATAGCCGCGTACTCCAGTCCATCCAACCCGCCGGAACGCTGCTTTGCAGAAGTACAGGAATCAGTGCGTAAGGAAATTGAATGTGCTTTCGGAATGCTGCGAAAGCGGTTTGGAATTTTGGATCGGCCGTGTCGTTTGTGGAAACCGAATGAAATGGAAGATGTAATGCTTTGCTGTTTAATTCTACATAGCATGCGCATTTTTCACAAAGGTAAAGCAATTGTCAGCACGAGTATCTCACGGCCAGTTGAAATGGTACGTTCATTTGGAGATAATCACGAAGAGCCTCCAACAGAATCTGAGGATATAAGGCAATATGCAGCTCGGTTAAGCCGAATTACAAACGAGGCCAATAATGCAGAGCTTCATAATGCGCTTGTTGAGCACTACTGGAACTTTCACGGGTCCAGATCGACCCTAGGTCAACACTGAGTCTGCTGCCACGTCACCACCAGAATTATGATCACGGTTTTCTGCTTCAACTTCAGCCTCGTCAGTTTGGCCAACTGCGCAACCACCATCGACAAGTTGTGCAGACGCCAACATTTGAGCAGTCTCAAGACTGCGTACTTGTTCAGCAAGCTGTAGCATTTTTTCCTTCCGTACCAAATCCATGAATTGCGTTGCTTCTTGTGATCTAGAAGAGGTCTCAAAAAGGCGAATAGCTAGCTCTTCATCACGCAGCTCATTTTTACGCGTCATCTCTGCCAGCACTCTCTCGTGCTTCTCCGTGATACGACTGAGTAGCTGGCGTAGGAGCGATGACGTCGATTCTAAAGCTGAATCCTGAACTCGTGCTTTCTTGGCTTGATCCCGTCCTTGTGGACGCTCACTAGTCTCTTTCTCTGGCTCCGCCACAGCGTCACGGCTACGCTTTTGACGAGCAGGTAAGCCAAACGCAGCAAACTTGCGGCAGCTTTTCAAGATCATCCAGCACGACAAATACTCGAACCTACTTCCATGAGTTTCCTGGAACAATGCGACAGCATCATTGACAACATCGTCATAAGTCTTCCCCGACTTATTGCGAGCTTTCACGCGAGAAACACACCCAGCAAACTTGGCCGTGTCATGAGAAATTAAGCTCCAGCGATTTTTGATGGCCTGCAAGGTCCGAGAGTCGCCGCCGAAAGCTGTTGCTGTACGCTGGCACACATTCTCCCAGAAAGCAGTAGCCTTTTGATCAGTCCCCTGGATGGAGTTTTCAGCGGTAGCCTTGTTCGCACGAGCCAGAGCCTCGTCCTCCTGATCGCACCACCTCTTGCCTCTCCCCATGATGCTGTGCGATCTTTCTGTTGTGCCAGTTTCTATTTTTGCACCACAGTTGCTAGTCGGGCCTCGAGTAGCAACAAAGTCGAGTTGCTATTCTATTATAGCAATAGCAACCCCGACTGGAGATAGCAGATTGTAATATTTTCTCTATTTAGCAATAGAAGCTCAAATAGCAACTTGAGTGGAGATAGCCTAAGCCCTGAGTCGTTAAAAATGGTGTCAACGGCCGGGTTCGAACCGGCGACCTTCTGCGTGTAAAGCAGACGTGATAACCACTACACTACGCCGACTACAACAATATCGACTTTTCACATGCATAATTAACTGAGATCCCATTAAAATGTTGGCGTAGGATTTTTGGATTAGGACCCAAACACGAATTCCAATTTAATGACTGTCTTATGGGGTCGGCTTTAAATCAGACCAGGTCGCAACAGAAAAGTTGATTTTTCGACTGCCTTTACGCACGCAATCTTCTCACCTTTCACTGCAACCAGTTGTTCTCGACTAAATAAGTAAGTATTCCAGCGTGTCCACACTTCGAAGGTCATACCTGTTCTGAGAACAGCTCGAACAGTTTCTATGATGCTTTTAATGAATTTACAGTTTTTGCTTTGCAGGGGCGGCTTAATTGAAGCCAACCCTGGAATAAAGACGTAAATGATCAACTACCCAATATCTGCGTTGACACGATTCATAAACCGATTCCCAATCGCCCATAATTGCAGATAAATAGCTAATTTTATTTAGGTAAGGATAGCAACTTTCATTCATTCTCAGCTCGACCTGAGAGCAGCCAAATGATACGTACGCATAAGTTCCATCCATAAGACATCCGGATGCTTAATATTTAAGCAAACCAAGTATAAATCTGATAACGTTTAACAATTAATTGAAAAGGATGATCACACGATTTGGATCACTTGTCGCACGCCTAGGAAGCGAACCAAACCACTCTAATTGCAATGGATCGTATACATCGAAAGGGACAGTAGGCGAAAGCTAACTCTGAACTATCATCTAATAACTGGACGCACTAAAAACAAAATCTCGACTATTAGGTATTCGAGAATTCAGCTCAATCAACTTAGTACACTAACTCCGCTTTTTGAGCTGTACAAGCACTGCGAAAAGCGTTCTGTGGGCATTGGAAAGATGACTACATGGGCTGTGCTTTGCAACCTTGCGGATGAGCTAAAGTGGCAATAATCCAGAGCACGAAATAATAATCAAAAAGCCAAATTTGTCTTGAGTAGATCTGAACGTGGTAGGACCATAGATGAATGGTGTCAAGACTGCCATTCCGAAAGCGCCTCGCCTCCGATAAGTACGATTAATTGCTGGACGGTGCTTGTGCAGAAGAGCCAAGGGCTTTTTGCTATATGCATTGCGACACGAATCGATGGATTACTGGAATCATTAGTCACGGCACCCGCAAGATCCAGCCAGGATTCTCACCGCACGCCACAACGGCTGTGTAAGACAGTAATCGTCTTAAAACACGCTTCTGCGAAATTAATCTGATGTATTTGGTTCTGCGATCGATTATCTTCTCCTCTGGGTGCAGTGTTGTGTGCCTATAATGAACGCTAGTTGGCGCAAAGTATTGCCAAGTTTTGGTCGTTTCGATGCGAATTTCAGGTGGGCGAAATGTGTTGTAAGCAACGGCTGGGAAAAAGCACAGAACCGACATTTCCAGATTACGTTTATTGCTTGCCTCCTTGATTATTCGGATATTCTACCGATCATATAAACCTATTGGACCTATTTAGGTTTATGATTGGTAAGTCTTCAGTGCTAGCTCCGAAATGGTACGTATACGGAACTGATCAGGAGATTGGAACAGAATTCTTGGGGTTGTACCTCCAGACCCTCGTAGAAGAGAAAACATGTTCTGGAGAGCGCACCGGGCGTCAGCTCGCTGGTGGGCTCAGCACTGGGCCCACCTCCGCAGTACCGCGCGACCTTGCGTTGCGGGCACCCCGCGCGGGCTTACTGCAGCTACGCAACCTCGCACTCCCGATATTAAGCGCGGTGCCCTTCCTCAAATCAAGATAATTTATCCTGATCCGTATTCTGGATACGTACCATTTGGGAATCTACCGTCTTCATAGCGTAACGTTATGTGGCTTAAACGGCTATTAATTATATACTCGATTATATTTAGCATGTGAAAAGCATGGTTCAGATTAAACTATAAGGTTATTTTAAAACCAATACAAGTAGGGGCTAGAAAAACTTCCTTGGTGTTGTCGCGCGCTATCAAAGCGAAAGAACCCAATCACTTTCCGCGACACCTGAGTGTCGAGAGCCAGCAAAGTGACCTTCATGGACCCGAAGACATCTACTTCACGGAGATCTTTACTTACCGTATGTAGATGTGGTCTGAAAGTTAGTATACACTATGTATGGTATCGCGCTTAGCCCCAAATAAAACACATCGATTTCGGTTCTCGTAGGTTGCAAATAATAGATTTACATGTTAGCGTACGTGACCCTAACTATTACACGGCGCATGAAATATCTCGGATTCGACGGGCGCTTATATTTCAAATTAGAGAGTTTGCACAAGAATAGCGGCTGCAATTTGCCGGAAAGTATTACATAATAGTATCGATAGAATTTACGAAAGTGGTCAATCTCTCTTGGACTGGCGCGCTACGCCTCTAAAAGCTAGCCTTATTTATTCAACTCTACAGTGATGAGAAGAAAGTTTTCACGTGAAGCCCGATCAGGCCACGTGGCAACAGTAGCACGTGCGCTAAGATTCCTTTGAGAGCAAAGCCCCCTCACCCTTCTGGCCTTCGTCTTGCTCTCGATACTAGAGGTCTTGAGCAAGACCGTCTAATCGAGAAACGTAGGTTGACCAGACGGAATTCTAGCCTAACCCCATCCACGAATTAATTATCTTAAACACGTAGGTCGGTTGGAGCCCACCACTTGAACAGCATCTTTTGGTTCGCACCAGCTGGTTGTTACATGTTAAATCAGCCATCTTTTAGATAATTTAATGAGGAATTAAAGTAATCGGTAGAGTTGTCACTGTGCCAAGAGCTATATATATATGTTCTTGAGCAAGAGCTTGGTCTCGCTCTAACTGCAGTTGTAGCATATGCATCTCGCGCTCCAGCTCTAGTCAATCCTGATGCTGGGCTCTAAGTTGATGTGGAAGTTGCTGACGCCAAAGATGCATATCTTTACATGCGCCCTTGTCCTGCCTTTCAATTTCCTTCTGGGGATGCACTCCTGCGCTCCCGTCCAGAGGTATTTGCATAAGCTGAACCTGTCTCGGATATTTCTAAAGCATCACCGGTATCCGATGAGCTTGAGCTGGGGTCGTTCTCGCCTCCTAACGCTCGCCAAGCAAGTGCCTCCTCTACAATTCCGGATGCACATCTCGGAGCACATGCTTTATTTTTACTGGCGCAGTCCTTTTGTCGTCCTTATAGGCGTCATCCAGAAGGACGTACTGGCCCACCAAGCCGGGGAGCGATTCGTCATGGCTCTGTTCGTTTACGGCATCGGGAAATTCCTCGATTCAGCTGCCTACTGCAGAGCGAAGCTCTCCTTCCTTCCGCTTCACCTTCACAGCCAAACGCGGCCACGGACCTTCTTCAAGAATAGATGAATTAAGTGCCGACGAGACTAACTGAGCCACAGCTACCCAAACCGTAGCTAACTCCCCATACTTGGCTGCGAACGTTTTGGCTTTTAAAGAATCATCTCCCTCATCAGCTCTTTATGAAACACAATTCCTACGTACTTGACAACGTGGCTCTCACTTGCAATTTGTGACTACCGGCCAGATCAACGAAGTGCAGAGCACGACTACGTGCTAAAAATACTTATTTTTTAGATGTCACGCTGTAATCGGATACGATATCGAGTCAGACACCGAGGAAACTAAGTGGCTGTGCTAAAGTAGAAAAAGAAACTCATCTGTTGGACAACCGTGTGTGCCTAAAATTTGATCCGACACAGTTTTGGTGAATACATCATCTCTTGGGTCGATACTGGACACCATCATGGTGGTGCTGATACTGATATCAAGCACTTTGCGAAAGCAGTCGGATTAAAATCATTCTAGGCTGACATTGATGACGGCAATTCGTCTTGGTGTGCGCTGAAACTCATCTCAAAAGTGGTTGCGAAAGGTCTAATAAACCACGTTTCAAACCCCTGTTTTGCACTTTACTCGACTCATTCCACAACGCAGGTGAAGTATTATTTGTGGATGCAAGGTGTATGTAAAATCTTCATACGACACGATGGCGGAGCGGTCTAAGGCGCTGGTTTTAGGCACCAGTCTTCGGGCGTGGGTTCGAATCCCACTCGTGTCATTCTTTGTCTCGCGTGCACAAAACAATTTGACCCACATTTTGAACAGCCACTCTAATCTGAAGCTTAGTCTGTATAACCCAGGCGTACCACCGGGGTACATATTTTATGGCAACAAAAATTATATGTGAGTGGCTCTAAAACAAACGCGTTCTTTAAAAATCATAGGGTTTATACGCCGCTCTAACCGCACACGAGTGCACGCGATGATAGATCGCTCAAAGTGGGGCATGACTCCGAACCCATGCAAATCTACAAAAAGCTGCGTGTCTGGCACCTAATGCCTCTACAGCCATCGAAACACCTGCGTTTTGCTGAAGGCCGTTTATAAGCTCATACCTTTCTGTACCAGAAAAGTATGTGGCTAATGTGATTTTGACTAGAGTTGGCCTAGAGTTTATTCTCAATGATTTGTTTACCAACTCGGTGAGACACGCCGATCCTTGATTGTTTTCTTTAATTGGATGCGTCGAAGTTGTATGAATGTTTTTAGCAAATGCTGTATAACTTCTATAAAATATTGCAGAATAGCGGTCTCTTTTTTTTTTACCTAACGTTTGTTTTACCTTACTTTCCGTTTGACCGCTATTCGCTCAACGGTAATGACGGCTGTCAGTTGATTTGTGCTGGTGCGCTGTCGTATGTTTAACACTGAAATGACTGGTGGCCGCCGTGCTTAGCTAGTCAATCC